TTATTCACTTGTGCGCAAAATTAGGAGAATTCGAAGGTTATTTGTACGAAACGTTTTGAATTAAATGGAATAATTATGCCGCCGAAGAATTATGCAAATATTCAGAGACGAATACATAAGCGCACATACGCGTGTCTGCGGAGCTGTGATTGTGGAGGGGATGTAAGCGCACGAGAGGTTTTCGGCGATCTGTGTGCTCGTACTCCATCACAATATTCGCCGTGTTTTTCGCAAGAGCTGGGTAAACTTTATAAAAAAAGCCTGATGTGTACATCACATGAATTCCTTGTACGGAATATTAAATTATACGCATTTTTTCTTGCATGTTATTTAATCTTATTGGATTTAATTAAATCTACTTCGTCAATAGCGAATAAACCTCAATAAACGCACTCTTTAAAATTCACTATATTTTTTTACCATAACGACATTCTGCCGCTAGGTTCATTTATCAGCGTTATATTTCGTTCATATTATAACTTTTACCTTCACTCGCATTTGGTACCAACTACTGTGAATTATCACCAATAGATCAAGTATGCCTTAGGCCTTTCACGTTTGTATCAAAAGGAAGATGCACTATTGGTACATCTAATCACCCAGAGGCGTAGAATACATTCAAAAACTCTAAGGTTTGGAGTAATCTGGTTGTGGGGAAGCAAACGTTTCCATAGATCTTAAGTTGCAAGCATCTTTTAAAATGGTCGATTCAGTCTCTGCTAGATAGTAATTCGGAGTTATTTAGGAGAAGCATTCTGATTGAGAGCACTTGTCACAAGATAGGAAAACAGTTTAAGTCTGTGCGTTCAATCAGTAAGCCTTAACATGCACCGAAACGTCGAGTTCAATCAAACTTTGGTCAAAAACAAAAAGTTCATAAAAATTAGTAGAATTTGCAATCACTCAAAAGTCACATCACATGAAGAGGCGTTAAAAATTTATTCTCAGATACGCCCATCATATTATAACTCAGAATGCACAAAATTTATATCATTTGAAGAATTATCTAATCGTTGCCATATGTTCTGTTCAAATGCTATAATAAAGCTAGAACGATGTATAAAGGAAATTAAGCAAACAAAACAAAAAAGAAACAGTTTTTCACAGACGACTCAGTATTTCTCATTCAATTAATTCAGTTCTCACTTAGCGAAAAAGCAAAAATGCGTAAAAACTCAAAATATCTATATTAAAAATTACGAAGTAAATCTGAAACACTTATTTCCTTGAAAAAATTCCCGAAAGGATTAAGCATTATTTAATTCGCAATAATAAATGAAGGCGTTATCTTTGTTGTTGCGAGGCTTAGTCTCTCCAGATTGGCAACAAATCTACTATTCTGTTTCAAATGTAAACAAATATGCCCGCCATGTTATTTAAAATTAGGCTTAACCGCACTTAAACAGCTTTTAAATTGTTGATATTTCTACAAATATTGCTTGCAGATTTCCTAAAGGCATAAAAACCTTAACCGTAAGATAAGAACAACATAATTCAATCATTTTTAAAGCAACAAATGCGCAATTTACAAACATATAAAAGTAAAGAAATTGAGCCGGTTAACAGAGTGGTTATATATATAAATACAAGTATATTTATATACGTTTGGTGCGGCCTATTGCAACCAAAATACGAGGTGCACATCTACATGTTATAACAATCCTATATACAAAATTTCAACGCTCTGAGGCTACTCGTTTTGAGTTATGCGAGATACATACGTACGTACAGACACCACGAAAAATTCTCTTCAGAATTCATTTTAAAGCAGTTTTATAATTTTTTTTTGGAGGAAAGAGTATTTTATTCTGTCCTTACGTACAGATATCACGCAAAACTTCGATACGGTAATATGGATATTTTCGTTAAAATATGCTGCCTGAAACTTTTCACGATTATAATACTTCCTTTTTACTTCCTACAAGGAAGTAATAAGGAGTAGCCACGAACGTATGCATGACGAAATGAACGTATGGATAACGAATGAGATAAAGAATTGTTGGAAATATAAAATGACTTTTGTTGGTACTTCTCTTTCTTCGTTATAAATGTGTAAGGATCCTAAGTTTTACTAACGTTTATTTTATTTTAAATCTTTACTATCACTTCTTATTTTCTACTTCCGGCCAGAATTAAAAGGTTTAACTTATTTATGCAAATTTGTCTTGCTAACGCCAAGTACTTAAGTTGTGGCTTTTTGTCAAGCAAGAGACAGGAAGGAGTTATTAGAAGCAGGCCGCTTGCCATAGTAGTTTTACTCGGTTGCTGGTTGCCTTCAAGGCCAGAGGTTTAGTCCTCTTGATAAATTCAAACGTATCGTAGTGTTAGCAGCTCTCTGTACTACATACGGATTTTGTTAAATAACGGCCAATCTTAAAGTTAGGCACTTGTATATTAATTCAAAGTTAGTTTTAGTTAGAGTTTTAGTTAGTAGTTTTATATTCTTACGTTCAGACCACAAGTGGTTGGTCTCTGTATTCCGAAGTTACGAAAAATCTCTGTAAAGATAGAAAAATAAAGGGTTTTGTATACCCTTCCTGTGTGTATTGTCTACTTCACAATTTATTGAACATAGCTTGAGTAAGCTCCCTGTTCCGAGTCAGGACAGTTCATGTTTCCAAAGCAAGTAAAGAGGAACACAAGTCCTGATAAATGTATATTCATTAAAGTCTGTCCGTGAGTTTTTGAGAAATTCTACATAATGTGCAAATTCTCCTAATTTTGCACATGAGAGTAAATAAAAGATTATTAAACAGTTATAGTATCTTGCTTGTTTCTGTGGAATCAGTTGAAGATTTTTCTGAGTTGAAATCATATCAGTTAAGGTCTTTCCTTCCCCACTGAATTTTTGTTAAAGATTAAAATAAAAGTTGGTTAATAAACAAGTTTATACATAAGTCATTAAGTTACTCCAGCAGTTGCCTTACAATTTCTCGAAAATAAGTTTTTAGTATTAAAACTACATATCAGATCATTTAGAAATTCCCTCAGTCACTCTGAGCAAATACTCATAGTGTGCTTTGCCGTAAGCCATATAATGCAATCTTGTTCTGTTAAGTTATATACTAATATATTTTAATCTAAGTTTTCACTCCGGGATTAAACGAAGCTGTCTTTTGTATGAGTAATTCAATAATAAAAATAGCTTTTTTTTAAAATTGGAAATGGTTGAAATTACAAATACAATAAGACCATATAATAAAGACTTGCTGTATGCAATATTGATTTAATTTACGTCATAATGCATTATTGTGTTTTGAAATTCAACTACAGTAATATTGCAGAAACTGAAGTTGCATTTTAAAAATATTTCAAAATTGCAATTCTTAAAAACAGTTTGTAATTTTTTGTAGTACTTTGTAAAATCGGACAGCGATTTATTAATTTCTAGGTTGTGGTTAAGTCTATAGTGCAGTAAGTTTTCCTACTTCACTAAGGTTTAGTTAAAATACAAACAATGGATTATTATCAATTCACTGAACAAAGGTGAAAATGTTGTAACAAAACATCTACCGAGATACACTTCATTTTTTATTACGTTTTCACTCAAATTTGCTTTATTTACAAGAGAAGTTCTACAGTTATAGAAATTTACACCGCCCCCCCCCGCCAGATGATAGGTTCTTTAAGTTTCTTTTACTTGCACGTGCACTAAACTTTTGCTGTTCACCAAACTTCCTGTTTGCTGGGTCGCACTCATGCAATTTAATCCATTCATCAGCCAATGGCTAATACTTATCAGTCATTTAGCCGTCTCATTGCCGAAAACTTTAGCAAAGATGCTTCTGGGGCGCGACTGACTTACACCTATGAGGAAGAAAACCTTTCATTCTAATTTTGATGGGGAATACTTCCGGAGATGGATTCGAGTTTCTTAACTGCCCATCCATATCGGAACAGATGGAGGAGCTTCAAGTTTGGACCAGTTAGCATCTACCGTAGTTGTGACGCTGAATCATTGAAAAATGTTATTTACATTTTATTTCATTTTATCTCGCAGTCATCCACAGTAACCAACATCTATTTTTAATCCTTTCGTGTTCTTTCAACCAGACAGTGAAATTTTCACATAACTGATGTAACTTTGCGTTGAAAATTTTTGCAATAAAGCCACGATGTTTTAACTATTTTGTAGAGGAAATCGCACTGAAAACATTTTCAACCATTTTATTTAAGCTTGGTAAAGGTCATGTAACATAATGTAAAACGCTATTTAGAAGCCCACTGGTTCATTTCGAAAGCCCTTTTCCCGATTGCTGTACCGACGTGCATTTAACGAATTATACCTTAGGGACCTGAACCCGGGTCCAACGATACGAAAGCTGCCATTGCTGATCACTATGCAGATCATGGTGGCAGCACCTTTCCCGGCAAAAAAAAAATTATTTTGCATTCCCTAATGTCCTATCTTAAACTTAACAAAAACGATCCTATAAAAGCCCGCTTTCAAATGAGCAGTATCTCCTATTGCAATGCCAGCTGAGAAGGGGTGGAAGTGCATTCTGTTTCCCGTTTTTAAATGAACTTTTCTTTGTATTATCTTGTTACAATGCCGCTCTGGAGAGAGAAAGACACCAAATAGACCACAAATCTCCTCTTCTTATTTTCGCCGCATTCTGGGACTGGAAAACAGTCCGTTCGTGGGAGTGGTTTGCTGTCAGGGTTAATAATCAAAGCCCTATTTAACCACCACGAGTGTATCGCGTTGCTGACCCCTGACGAAAATTTTAAAATCGACGAAACTGTCTCGGCGGAAACGGTGAAGTGGATAATTGTGATCTGAGTTATATTACATACCATTAATTAGACTTTAGCGTAATCTTCATTAAAAGGAACAAATTAAAAAAAAGAGATGTTTTCCATTTCTTTGCGCAAATAACTTCCTAAAATAGGAACTAAAACTTTTAAGACCGTAAAATAAATCTCAGGTTATACTTTTTTGCTAAGTTTGAAATCTACACTTGGTAGAATAATTCCCTTTTATTTCCTATTTTAGATATCTCCTAAGGACCAAACATGACTACGAATATAGCAGGTATCATCTCTGTGGTGTTTTTCTACATCATTATCCTGGTGGTAGGAATATGGGCAGGCAAGAAAAAGAAAACTCCGGGCAGCGAGCTGGAGGAAAGCGAAGAAGTGATGCTAGCGGGTCGGAATATAGGCATGTTCGTCGGCATATTCACTATGACAGGTAAGATAGATGCAAGTACAACTATATTGAAAATGAGTAACTCTATAAAGCCCTTACCAACTGTAGTTCTCTATGTCTGTCGAGTCCAATATTTATCCAGGAACCCCTGCAAGAAATTCATCCCCGTTCTTATTACAAATTTACCTGATTCACATCATGATTCATAATGCAAATCAAGTAAGAAAAATAAATGAAATCTATAAAAAGTGCTATTTTTAATTTTATTACGAGCCCTTTTAAGTACTTAGGAGGTTAACACATTAAGCTCAAAGTTTCTTTGATGAAGTAATTGAGTTTTACTTTCTCCTTTTGTTCATAGTTTAGTTTACGAAGTTCCGTATGACAGTGAAAGGAAAAAAGAGTACTAGTAATTATATCAGCAAATATGGCAATTCCTTCGTTAATTGTTAAATAAATGTTCCCTTTCTGCTTGAAAAACTCAGATTAATGGAACATTTAAAGAACATATGGAAGTAAAAAGGGTAAATTTAATTGCGTTATTCTATGTACTGTTTCAATCTGTAGTGTCTAAATTATTATTTCATCATTTCTGCCGAATAAAGAAACGAACCACTAGGCTCGAAAAAGGATCATATTTTTTTTCTCCATTAACATACGAGTAAATAGTTTCAACGCAAAGCACGTTGGTATAAAACGTTATTTTCCGAATGCATTCCAAACGAAATTGTTGCGATACGTATTTTTTCATTGACAACAAAATCATTTATTTAAATTTAAAAAATAATACGTAACAACATACGAAAGAATAAGAATAAATATTTACATAAATTATAGTAAAACCTAATAAAAACCTTTACTACAATGATGACCCTCAGCTTTAAAGATAATTGTAGATCTTTCGTACTTAAATCTGTTAGTACATTACCGTGTTTCTCTGTTTGCTATCGAATGTTTCATACTTCTTTATTTCAGATAGAAAGAAGGTTATTGGCTCAAAGTGGCTGTTAGTCATGAAACACGATTTTGCGTTGACTTACTTTAAATATCGTCCACTGTAAATGCGTTGTTTCACTTTTCATTCGAGTCTGTTACCTTTCGGCAAAATTCTAGACATTTAGCTTTCAAGCATGATCTTTCTGTCTTTTACCCTCTAAGCGGCAAGGTCATAAAATTCTAGACAAACAGAATCTGTCTGTCTTTTAACCCTCTAAGGGGCAAGGCCATATATATACGTCCTGGTATATTTTTTGTGACATCTGTAAGAACAAAACTGTAAGAACGTACATATACGTGCATATTAAAATATATCAAAGAAATTAAGGCAATATATCAAAAGTACACAAATCCAGGTATGAAATACCAGGAGAAATTTTACATTAAAATCAAAAAAAAATAAATTTTTCTCATAGTAATTTTGGGAAATTTGTGTTTTCTAAGCGAAAACCCTGGCCACTCAGAGGGTTAAAAAATATTATTTTTATACTTTTTAATTTGATTCACTTAAGTAAAAATTCACTTAATTCGTGATATATCTAAAACGCTCAATATGTTTACAGAATTCCGTTACATATTTACTTTTCAAATGTGCACAAAACTAAAACGTTATCATGTTAGTCTAAATATAATATTCATCTAGTATCCTGTAAAGCTCTCATTATTCTACTTGGGCCATAATCTCTATTGACAACCCCATTCAACTTTAAAACAGCCCTTTTGGGTGAAACGAAATTTTCAAGGGCCCAGTTCAACCGCGCTCTCACATGCGATAGAGATAAAAGGACATAGACCATAGGTCGTCCAGCGCACAATTCGCCTTAACACAGTCGATGCGACACAGTTTGGTGGGATATGGGTTGTCCTGCAGCAGCAATGAAATGCGACGCCAGCTGTCATGCTGTTAGTGAGCTACGGCATTTTGCACTATGACAACAGGAAACGGTCGTCTGCCGCTGTGGTATCTCCGGTCGTCCAGACACACATCTTCTACAGGGGTTTTGATCCTTTGGATAATAATTCCACAGACTGTGGATGACACTACGACGCACATTTAGTTCTCTCGCAACAGTGGATGGTCTTCAACCACTATCTCGGCAGCCCTCCAACGCATTTCATCGTACAAATGATGCCTTGCTTTCCGCTTCGGCTAACTCGGATTAATGGCTGCTTACGAACTGACGTATTGATTCGGAATGCCCATTTTAAGGCATTGTGGTATGGCTGCGGATTTGCGTTTTACACTATTTTTGGTTGCCTATTTGCATTCGGAGATGCAACCTCTACTTCATATATGAATTGTATGTTTTAATTTCCTTTTTTACATTCGCACCTTTTCTTTTAGCGTTTGCTGTTTATGAGCACGAGTGTAGAAGTTACAGAAGAAATAAAATAATAGGTAACTAATTAATTAAAATAAAGCTTTTCAGGATATCTGATTAGCAGCTATAGCATATTCTGTTTAAAAAATCGCAGGAATAATTGAACTCACCGAAAAATAGATGTAGAATTAGAGAAAAATAATTGGAACACCACATCGTCATAATCACAAGGATTGTTTCCATTTACTAGCTTACTTTTCTGATTCTTACTAGCTTTCTTTTGAAGCTGTATTTTTTCCACTTCACAGAACCAGCTCCTCTAATCTTCGGCAGCCTATCATGTGAATCATGGGAAATGAGATCTTAACATTTTGTACAAATGAATGAAATAAATATGGGAAAATGTAGTGGTAAATATACAGAAGTCTTAAAATCAAATGTTCATTTCACGAAGTAAGAAAGCATACAAACTGCCAGTATTAGCCCTTTTGTCGTCAGGTACAAAATCTGCAGCTTCTAAATTCTCCCGGCCGATTTCTTCTTTAAGTTTAAAGTTTTCCGCCACTAAATCCTGCCTCTCAGTGCGGCAGCACCAGTTGCACCAACCCTGATTCATATCCAATAAAATATATACTTTTCAAATTCAGCGAAACCTGTTCTCATCCTTTGATTGACTTTTCTGTTATATGAGTCATACTGTAGTTACTGGTTTAATTCATGCAAAATTACACGTAAATGGATTTGTTATTAACGATGCAAGAAATATTGTGCTAAAATCTTTGTTTTATTTTCAGCTACGTGGGTTGGAGGAGGTTATATAAACGGTACGGCAGAAGCAATCTACAGTAATGGAATAGTCTGGTGCCAAGCACCTTTTGGATATGCTCTCTCATTGGTAATTGGTAAGTGCGAAACCTAAGCATTTCCTTCATTTATCAAATTACTTTATTCTTAGATCTTCGTACGGCGTGAAGATCTAAAAATGTGGTAGATTTGATACTTAATTATTAATGCTAATGACTGTTTAATGTTATATCGCTGGCTTTCATTAAAGGAAACTTATTTATATATACATTAAAAGTGTGTCCAAAAGATATCTGCGAGGAAAATGAACTGCCATATGCTTTTTTCAAGCCACGTGAGCACGTTTTCAAAATTCATGATTTTTAGGCTCTCCTTTTAGCACCTGAAGTCCAGCGGTTCCCAACTTTTTGACTAACGCGTACCACCTAAACAAAAATTGAAAACCTTTAGTACCACCACTACAAAGAACTACTACCACCACCACTCTTGAACAAAGTCAAATCGCATAAATTTACGAGTGTTAGAGAAAAACCTCAATCAGGATGTTGGGGTTTTAATTTTTGAATTCAATAGTTAAAAATACTTTTCATCTTTGCATACCATCTATTTTTCTCTTGCGTACCACCGGTTGAAAACCTCTGGCCTAAACTAAATGAATTACCTATTTTTAAATCTCTTACTTTCCCCAAATTGGAGGTTAAGTTATTTGAATACGACGAAACCAATATTTTTCCTAAGGGAATCGATACCTTCGTAGAAAATTTCTAACGGTGTAAGCTCGTATTTACGTTACACATAGGAAAGACCACGAAAAACACCTATGCAGCCTGAGCTCGAGCCTAGGTGGAACTATTTACATTCAATCATCTTAGTCACTCAGCCACTGGCGAGTGCCAAAGGAAATGGAATATAAGAAATTAAAATATTACTTCGGTGAGCATATATCCGAGCGGCTTATTCAAGCATCCAGTATTAGACTGCGAGTAAAGATACTTGTATTTCATCTTGTTCTCACTTCCAGAAACCTCTCTTCTCGACAGCTTAGATGTATGCATTAAATTTATTGTGGGAAAAAGAAGGACTAGTGAAAAATATAAATACTTAAATCGGTTAATAGCTACTCGATTACAGAAAATAAGATTATGTAAATATCGTAATAAAAAAGTGGAGTTAAATATTAGAATATGTGCGTTAAATGTATCTGCTGAATCTGATCTGTAAGAAGAAATTAATCTCCAGATTCGGGATAACAATATCCTCATCATGTACAGAATGATATTCTTCATTTAAATATCAGCCAGAACTTGAATGTTTCCGTAGCACCTTAAAAAGTAGCAGAAATCAAAACATTGCAAGAAAAGATCTTGAAAACCAAAATAAGGCTGTTTAATTATCCTCTTATATCTGTGGAAGTAGGGTAATGATAAATCACTTTAGCGGTATGAAATGGAAAACAAAATTTGTAAACATTTTGTTGATCATTTTTAGCCATGAGAACGTAGTTCTTTTTTTATTTAATTGTTTTATGTATTAAAACTATTTAATAAATATTTCTCTTTGTTGTTCTGACCATACTATAATGAAGCTAAAGTATCGGAAGAGGTTCCATAAAAGTGAAATATTTTAATTCATTGGTCAAAATTTATACATCCGCATCACTCTCCAACTGTTATGCATTTATGCAAACGTTTCTTTCAATGCTCGAAACATTTTAAAATTGTTTTCGTGAAACCTCTAAGGAACCGCAGAGAATTTCTTTTAACTGCAATAACAGATATAAGATGGTGGCCACGAAGTTGCACAAGGTGCCGTACTAGGTAGCAGTGTTTGCTGAAATTTTCTAAAAATTCATGAAAAGCATCGTTAGCACGTGTGTTATCGTGATATAAAATCCACAAGTTAGATTGCCACATTTAAAGTCGCTTTCTACTACTGCTTCAAAAAAATTCTGCCAAGCATTCAAATAATGTTCTTTGCTAAGAGCGTAGCCGATTGACAGGAATTCATGATGCATAACACCATGAGAACAGAGATAACAGATACCATCACCTAGATATTGTGATCTTTCGTGTGGTCTGCATAACATTGACTTATCTTGTTTTGTCTACCTTTCATTCAGCTACAGCTAATCAAAGCGATACAGCAACACTGCCCAAAGCACTTCTGATTAATTTAAGCAGTTAATTACATGCCTACTTCAATGCTTTCTTAAAATCTGCAGGACAAATAAGGGATAGGTTTTCTTTATGAGATTAAATTGGAGAATTATTAAAAGATTGCAGACCGCAACCGAAACTACTAATGAAGATTCTGGTAGATAGATGCAGATAACGAGTCGTTCTACATTGCTTCACAAAACTTTAGACCGGGCTACCTTCGTTCATCCACAGAATAGACATTTTTGATTATCCTAATACAGCTGCTATCTAATTAAAAAGCTTGACTGAATTTGGTAAATGTTAAACAAGACGAGATTTGGGGAAGAAGCTGATATGCTCTTTATGTTGTTAATATTGGTGCTTTTCTTCCGGTTTTTGACGAAGTCAGACACGATCCAAAAGACCGTTGACTCTAAAAAAGTGGAGCACAAGGAGAGGATTGGAGTAAGTATCCTCCCTTAGAGAGTCCCAAGCTGCTTAATATGTGGCTCGGCAGATGCCTGATATTATCGGCACTTGGTGCATATGACAAAGATTTCCATGCCCGCCTTGAAAGACAGGCTCGTAATATGAATGCATTTTATGTTGGATAGAAATAAATTGTAACTCTTCAAAATAGTGTCACTTCGAATGACAGTTGAGTTTTATACGATAGGTCGCAAATATCAGTAGGTATGCTCGTAGATAGATGAAAAGCAGCTCAATAGTTAAAGATAAAAGAATCTCCAAGAAATGCTAGAAACCTTTACTTCAATCAACCTTAAATATGGTAACATAAAGAGTTAATCCCATGTTCAAATCTTTGCTATTCAGTACTGCAAGTAAATAATCTAAGTGTTGTGAATTAAGTAATCAGAAGCCTCAACAGGCGTGTCTTAGTACTTCAATTTAATGCCATTCAGCATCTCACATTGAAACTCATGAAGCAAATACTGTAAAATGTCGCTTGAAGGAAATGTTGACTAATTTTATTATTTTTTTTATCTAACTGAACTTGAAATCGCGAAACCCAGAGCTATTAATTGCAATCTCCCCCCCAAAAAAATATGTAAGATCAGGAAATGTTATATAAGGTAAGAATGTTTCCCCGAAAAATAGCGAGCTATGATGACATTAAAATATTTATGTTCTTTAATAAAATACGTATATTTGTGTTGTGCTAAAAATCTTCTTTGAAAATTAATAAACTGCTAAAAATAGAATAGACAATTATTAAATTAAATTATCAATTAATCATGCAATTAAGTTCCAATTTTTTTTTCCATTTTATGAAGAAAGACCCTCCCTGCATTCATGATTTTGAAAGAAAAATTTTCAGAGCTGTCTATCAAAACTCTGTCATTTTTTTAATTTCTTTGATGAAAACCCATATAGTTATGCATCACATTACAAATGGATATAGTTCTTTTTTTTTTTTTTTTTTTTTTTTTTTGTAATTTAAGTAAAGATTTTAGTTAAAATGAAAATTTTGAAATTAATTTTATAACAGATACATTGAAAATTAACATTATTTTTGAAGTTGCAAACAAAAATGAGCTTTATTGTTTACGATTGATTATAAGTTATTCAAAACGGGCCAACAGATGGAACAACACCATTCTTAATTTTAGTTTGGAGCAGGTATCTGTTGTATATTTGGATATGAAAAATCCCTCATCTTCCTTATTTTTCAAATTCTTCTCCGAAGTGTGTTATATTTTCCAGAGTTTGGAATTGATTTTCCCTAGGAGAGCACTTTAAAGTTAATGCATCTATTAGTCAAGCGGAGACCTTTAGCATCTGCATAAATTTTGAATTTTTCAAATCTGACATCAAAAACGTCGTCACCCGAAAATATGACTCTAACTTGATTTAATAGAATTGTTGCTGCTGCTTTCTTGCGGATTTTACTAGCACTGATGGATTCGGCCATTTCATTTGCAACAACCCAATAACAGGTAAACTATATTACAAAAAATAAGGGACAGCCTTATATTACAAGAATGCTATTCCGTTAAATGAGAAATACAGTTTTTTCCCTCTTCAATCTGATCTCGCGAAAGGCTCTATTCACGCTTTTTATCATATCACAGTAAGAAATATATTAGATATCTGCCTATTTTAAAAAAATAACAATTAGATGAATCTGTTTTCTTTTCTTTTTAGGTGGTCTGTTCTTCGCGAATAAAATGAGAGAGGAAGGGTACGTAACGATGCTGGACCCTTTCCAGGATCTTTTCGGGAGCAGAATGGGAGGTCTACTTTTCATACCAGCCCTCTGCGGAGAGGTGTTCTGGTCAGCAGCTATTCTGGCTGCTTTAGGTAAGTACGCGAGGTATTGATGTATTAACGCAATCACCTTAGTAGAAGTCGCCACATTACTATTCTTCTGACAACCATGCTCATAACAGTCCTTCAGCCAGACAACGCCGCCGCTATTTTCGTATGTGTTCTTTTTTGTTGTAATCCAAGTTCCCACGGTTTTCATTAAAAAAATGTGATTATTTTTTGCCTTAAGCCTTTTTGCCTTAGTTTTAAAATATGAGCTTGGGGAATTTGCCAACAATGGAAGAAACTGCAGCCAAATTTCTTCTATAATACTGAATGATTTTCTAAAGGGAACAACAAGGAAATGCGTTTACTCGAGAGCCGCTGTAGCCGAGGGTTGCACGAAGCCGAGTCTCCGATCTCTAACAGATCGCTGTGTACTTCGGGAGAAAAATAGACCAAAACAATTAAAGGAAAATTGGAAGAAAAATGTAAGAGTTTTAGTTTTTTAGTGTATAACGTAATCCTTATTAATAATTCAAATTTGTATTTTTAATTGCTAAAGTATGCTTTCTTTACATATGTGGATAATGTTTACCGAATCGATACTGATATTAACTATCGATAGTTTGAGAATCTCTCTAAACAAAAGGAGCTAAGACCACCACCTTGCACCCAATAAGTAAACTTTTACCTTTTCATCTGTGAAAAATCTCCAAATTGCGCCAAAAGGGTTGCGTTGATACGTAAGTACCCTACTCGAATCTTTTATTAGACAGATATCTAATATTTAAACTTTCTAAAGAAACAACCTTGTATTTGGCATAGATTTAGACAAAGAACTCGAATGCAAGGTTGTTTCTTTACTAATTTTAAGTTTAATTTTTTCTTCTGATCTGTCTAATATTTCGTAAAATTTCTGTTATTTTTAATTTTTTCCAGTTACCAACAAACACCTTGTCTTTTGGAAATCTAGAATCATAAGTTGTTAACGATTTTGTTCCAAAAGGGAAAATCTAGAGACTACACTGGTCACACTTATTGTTAATTATTATGCTAGGTAATATGAATTAAGTGAAGCAATAGAGTAAAATTTACCATCTTCTTGGAATTGAAATAGAATAACTGGAACTAAATAATTTGCGAGTAACTTAAAAAATAATTTGCGAGTCATTCATTAATAAAAATTTTGATTAATTAAAATCAAAGTATTTATTAATGAATAATAAATATTGATTTTGGTGATGAATTTGATAATAAATATTTTAATATCATTAAAATCATTTACAATGACTGGTACTCATATAAGTGGATAACAAATAAATCATTGATCTTCCCATCTGTCCTGGACACAGAGCGGGAGTTTTCCTACATATCTGTCTCTGATCATAAGTTATAAGCCTTATGATCATAAGTCTCCGATCATAAGGCTGGTAAATTCAGGTCGAAGTGGACGGGACTCCAGTCTCAGGCAGTGCCATCACATGAAGTTAGGCATCGGGACAAAAGTCCCATCATACGGGTAAAAATATAAGCAATTGCATAACATTTTTGGTGTCCATATCATTGATGTTGAGATGATGCGGAAAAAATAAAAATTTTCCACATGATGGCCTGAAACGCCTTCACATTTCCAACGAAATTAGTTATTCCAATTGCAAGCTGTGGCAGACCACTAAGAAATGGAACTGCTGCTGCGGGGGCGGAGATGTGACATCAGACGCAGGAAGATGGAGAAGAACTGCGGTTAGCTAACAGTTGATCCGTGACTGCTGATTGGAAGAGAAGGTAAGACAACAAGCCACATAAGCAGGTTTAGGGATGGGGTGGAAGACTGAATTCAGATCCATGCTTTTTTTGATAAAGGTTAGCACACTCGACACGTATTCGAGAGATCCAGGTTCGAGTCCCGGCGAGGGCACTTCTCATTGCTCATGTTTCCTGCTTTAAAAATACCCTAATGACTCTACAGGGTCGTGCCAAAAATACAGAGGAAGAGGGATAAAGCAATTAAAAGCGATATATTAAATATTAAAAATTGTATAAAATTACATTAAGAACTGCGTTCAATTATGCATGATACAAAGCACAGTAATAACAGTAATAAAGTAATAACAGTAATAATCTTAGATCGGGCTACATAAAAATTCAGTAAGCGAAGAAATGCTTATAAGGTATTTCTCCCACTTCCCTAGCGTGCCTTCGTGGTGTAACGGTAGCACGCTGGGCCGATGTTCCAGAGGTCCGTGGTTCGATTCCCGCTGAAGGCGGTTGCATATTTTTCATCTTTTCTGCTTCCAATTAACCTAATGACACTACATGCTTAACAAATAATGCATTACTGCTGACAGTTAAAAGAATATATCTATTGTCCAAGTCGAGGAAGCACGGCTTCTGGTCTTCTTCCGTTTCGAAACAGAAGAAGGCAAATGCCATCGTAATTTAAGCTTTGTATGTAAGTATTATTAATATTCCTGAGAATGTTTTCGCTAATTTTACCATGTACTTCTCAATGCTGAGAAATTTAAATTCGTTGTGTATTGTTATATCTCATATGAATCATCTGCAGGGGGGATCTGTCTCAGTAGTATTTTGCAGTATTTGCAATTTTTTAGTATGCTTTTTACAAGCAGGACAGATGAGTGTGGGACGCAACTTGGTCTTATAGGTATAAGTAGCTTATAAAGATGGACACCAGAATTTTACCATTGGTGGTACAGCGCCGCTCTAATTATGACGAGGATCTTCTACACTTCTCTCTCTCTCCCACCAATTCACTTAAAGGAACTCGCCCTATCTGGGCTCTTACTATTTTAAATGCGCGTATGCCGCACAAACTCTTATAAACATCCATGCCTTTCTGGGATTCGAACTCGCACCCAACGATCACCAGCGAGGCTTTTTCAGAACATAATCTGAGTTCAAGTCATCCTAGCGAATATTACGGTATATCCTACTATAAAGACTATTTCAGCTGCAGAAATTGAAATTTATACAGATAAATCAGGGTTTGCGGAGTGCGTCGGCTGTGCCTTCGTTGTATTTTTCCATGGTATTGAAATTGATTACAAAACGTTTACTTTAAAACCGAGAAATTCAGTTTATCAAGCAGAATTGTTGGCAATTAAAATGGCTTTATCTTGGATCAAGAAATTATCCGTGAGGTATTACATTAATTTATACTCAGATGCCTTATCTGCCCTTATGGCGCTCTCCCGCCCCTTTCAAAAGAATAATATTGTTAATGGAATTAAGCACATATATTTAGAACTACGAAAGAAGCATATTTTGAATTTACATTGGATCAAAGCTCACGCTGGTCATTATGGGAAGGAGAGAGCGGATGCTCTAGCTAAAGATGCCGCTCTGGTGGTTGGAACCAAAAAGATTTCTGTTCAAGAAAGAAGACATGTACTATAATATATGACAAGCTTATTAGAGACTGAAAAATTTGTGGGAATCTCTCTGAAAGAAACAAAAGCTATCTAAAATGTTTAAAAAGTAGCAAAAAAAGTGTGAATATTAGGAGATGTAGATGTCTATCAAATTCTCACGGCACATGGAAAGTTCCCTGCTTACTTAAAAGGGTTCCACCTCCAAGACATTGATATATGTAAAGTTTGTAATAAATTCGTCGATTAAAAGCATTTCGTGGAGGAATGTTGCCTGGATGAATTTTGATAATATAAAGAAGATTTGTATAATAATAACTAATGGAAAGTAAAACACTTATAAAGATTTTAAACTTCGTAAAAAACACAGAAATGGAAACGACACATCTATATACTATTTCACCGAGAGTGTTTGGTATGTATGTATCTGCTTTACATATTTTTTTAGCTTTTATGTTTGTTTTGTGCGATTGTATGATCTGAACTCATTACCGGATGTTTATTGAGCTTATTATTTTCCGTTGTGTTATTTTTTTTTTTTTTGTTATGCTTTGTGGCTTGGCCATATGGCAGGTTTCGCCTGCTAGGTGGGCTGGGAGCCAATGCTTAAAACTAACTAACTAACTAACCCAACGATCATATTTAACCAAATACACTCATGTCCATAAATTAAGGATAATTCGGAGTCACGCGGAAATCGAACTCTAAAATAAATATATCACCTGTAAAATCACTACACACATCTTCAAGAATCATATGCAAATTTCAGGAAGTAACCAGATGACACCGATGGTACGTCACAATGACGAGAGTGCAACAGAGTGATATATAAGGAATACAGGCAAAGAAGTAATATTGTTCGCAGGCGCTTTATAAGCATTTCAGTGCAATAACAGAATAGTTATGACACAAAGGACGCATTTGGATGATTTTTTACATGGTAGAATTATCGGCCGTCTGGAATGTGGGCGTACCCAACTGGAAGTAGCATACGAACTTGGAATTGCCCAGAGTGTCATCTCCAGGCTTTGGCAACGATTCCAAGATGATGGTAATGTGAGTAGATGTTACAGCACAGGTCTCCCCAGAGTTACAACGCCGAATGAGGACCGGTGTTTGGCAGTTACTGCCAAAAGAAACAGGCGGAGCACAGCCTCAGACCTGTCTCGCCAGCTCTCTTCAGCCACTGGTACGACAATTTCAAGGCAGACCGTGTACAGACACTTAGGGCAGATTGGTCTATAACTCGTAGACCTGTCAGATGCGCTCCACTTACTGCAACTAGCTGTCGCCTGCGGTTAGCCTGGAGTAGAGAGCATGCATTGTGGACACCGCAACAGTGGGCTTGTGTGATGTTTTCCGACGAGTCCACGTTTAGCTTGCAGTCTGATTCTCGCCGGACTTTCATATGGAGAGCTCCAGGTACCCGTTACCACCAAGAAAATATCATTGAACGACACTGTTACGGTGGTGCAGGAGTGCTCGCTTGGGGTGGAATTATTCTGGGTTCCAGAACTGACCTGCATGTTCAAATTGGAACCATGACAAGCCAAATTTATCAGGGACGTCATTCTGTAACAACATGTATATTTGTTTCGGAGCGCCATGGGCGCACAATTTGTGTTTATGGATGACAACGCCCGTCCTCACTGTGCAAACATC